CTTTTAGACTGAAATCTGGAGTCAGTAAAACGATCCTCTGATTTTCTTACTATCTAAAATCCAGCTTTTCTTTTTGGAAATAAAAACAATAAGAACGCAGGGAGAGAGATACGGCTACTGATCTTAAAACATTAAAAATATAACATCATGTATAAGATACAGAAAAATCATATAAATGTAAACACGAGTGGAAAAGATTAAAATCTACTAAACATATTAATATATGAGAATATTAATCCAGACTGCGTATATGTAAAAAGAAATAAATGTAAACACAGATCATTCTCTGCAAACATCATCACACAGTTTTAACACATCGATCTTAAACTTATTACACTTTGGAATTTAAAGAAAAATAATTTTTTCTCAGTTTGAAGCTCTGCTGCTCTCATCATCCTTCCTGAAAAGCACAAAATCAGCAGCAGAGGTTCAGAGAGAGAGAGAAGTGAAACACAGTGCTGAGTTACACACATTCCTCACCGTGCCTTCAGGAAGAGCTGAGTAAATACGAGTGAAATCGAGACGTGAACGCTGGAGCAGTCGCTTCAGCTCTGGCTGGAAATTTTATAAAAAAGAAAATATTGACAGGAAACTTCACACTGAGATCATCACACTAAATTCCCCGAGTCAGATATAATCTAAACCCTGAAATACAGCAGAGGGGTGCCATTACTTTTACCCTCATCAAGAAATCCAGATTCTGTGAATATGCAAATTGAAAAGCTCCCTTCACACTCCGCCCACTTCCCCTGTGAGTTACACTGGCTGTATTTGCATATATTTGCATGTTAGAGCTCGATTGGCTCTTTTTCATGATGATGTAATAACACACTGCAGTGACAACGTTCTCACTCTGAACAGGGGTAGAACCCATTTCAGGAGGCGAAGAACCCTCAATTATCTAATGAAACTTTAAAGAACCTTTTTTCTAAGAGTGGTTTTTTTTATTCAATAATTTAATAATTTAATAGTCTCAGAACAGGCCTAGTTAATCGGTGACAATCCAGGGCCAAGGCCAGGGAGCAGACAAGCAGGCTAAACCGACCGTCTGCTAGCTGCACTGAGTCGTCACTTAGGTTCCACCGTATTGAGACTGTGTCTGTTCCCCGAGCTAAACAAAATTATAGACATACTCAGACAGTTTGTTTTAGTAACCTAATTAACAT